CAATTATAATTAGTATAAAGTATTCATCTATAATTTTGTTGATAATTAATTTCATTAAAAATCATAAATAACTGTTTTTAATGGAATCCCCTTTCATAACCCATACTCTTTTTAAATTTTATCCTCTTTTCAATTTCTTTACACTTTTACATACTCTATATTATTAGTGGAAGTATATGTATAATTCATTAAAAAAGATGAAATATCACTAAAATTGATTATTATTATTATTATATAATTCCTATCGATTAAAAAAACTTTTAAAGGAAATAAAAGTTAGATAATCGGTAATCGGTAATCGGTAATTGGTATGGTGTAAATGGGATTATGAACATGAAAGGGGTATTCTTTCGCTTTAACAATCATATCATCATCCTATTTTAGGAGTTAGTAAGTCGGTGGCATCATGGCTTAAGCAATTTGATTAGGTGGGACCCCGTCACCTGAAGCTAAGGAAATTAAAAACAAGTTATTATGACTCTCTTTCAGTGAAGGGTGCACGTTTGATGAGCATTAGTGATGGGGAAATGCGACTTCTGTTCCCATAAAGTCTTTTTCTTCAAAGAAAATATGGAAAGAAAAACTAAACAAAGTTTACACTTTAGAGGGAATTATAAATAAGTTATGTAAAGTTGGGGAACATTTTGGGAGAGAAGTTTGGGTTATGAGCCAGTCATACAAAAAAAGAAGCTAATCCACACTAGGAAAAGTAGAAGGAGGTGAGTTAGATGAACATATATTTACCCACTACACTTTCGGAGTCTAATAGTGTGCTCTTACATGGCAGCCACCATGCACCCGTTAGAAAATAAATAAGTTGCGTGAGACTATTGTATTCGTGTGCATAAACCACTTTAGATGCCCCGAGAAAGTGAAATAATTGCTTTTATTAATTTGTTGCTTATGTTTTGTGGCGCATTATCAATCAATATTTCTTTCACTAAATTAATAACCTTTCCATCCTGTGATACTATATTAAGATATATTTTTAATCAGATAACTCATTCAAGAATTAGAAAAGAATTCCTCTTCAACGAATAGCCTTTTTAGAGTGAACTCGAGTTTTGATCTGAATGTCCTGCTCTGATAAATTGTAACCATATTAAGCTTGAGCAAGTTGGTCATTTTCTTACGGGGTGAAGTAATGACATAAAAAGGTATGATTGCATGTTTATTTGGGATGTAGATATATACAAGGTATGACTTCATATTGATGTGTAAACCTAATATATTAATCTTAATTTTTTGTGGACGGGGATTTTTTTTTTTATTTTCCCGTAAATTTGTATAGTGCCCCGTTTCCTTTAGTTTTCAAATATTAAAAATAGGCGACGCATGATTGAAGAGGAAATTAATGGATGGTAAGAATCACACAGTAAAACGAGACAACAACCAAAGACAAAAGTACTTGGAAATAAGTTAGTTCTGATGTACACGATTAAGTGAAGAAAGATATATAGACTGTCTTGGTTCAAAAGTAGCAGAATTAAAAAGGTAATATGATGAGACAGTTTTGGCATGAGGTTATTTCCACGGCTCCTAGTCTCTAATCCTCACCATCTCACTCAACCCAATTGAACCATTCGAATCTATTTCCTCTTTCTCTATGAGCAATCTATGCATACTCCACAACAATGGAAAATACATATAAAAAGATAAAAGCTTCTTGATTTGCCAGTACAGTAGTAGCAACTTTCCATGTCAATAGGATGAAGGGCTTGAATCACACGGAAGAAACTTTGGTAAAGAAGGTCACCTAATTGAAGATGATACCCTTTTGTATTATTGATGTGGGGAATACTTTTAGTAAACTTTGTCTCGTATTAACTTAATTAGTGGGAAGAAAAATTAATGTGAACTGACATATGATGTAACCCTAGTCCCAGGGACGTTTTTAGTTAGGATTCGCCTTAGCTACATGTCTTTGTTGCCTGCCGTCTTACCTAATCGTGTTTCATTTTTCTACCCTCTTTCGACGCTTACGTTGATTTCTTTCATTCACCGATTTATTTCACAACTTGTGCTGTAGATATCCCAAAGTCAGGTGAAGAAACAATGCTGCGGGGTCATTTTTTTCTAACGAGTAAATAAATAATCATGCATTATAGTCAAACTGTTCATAAATTAAAAGACTTATTCTTCCTCCTTTTTTTTACTTAGTCAAATCAAAAATCAATCCACCTGTTGAAATGAAGTGCAAAGATTATAGGAGTAACTTTTTAGCTTTCCTTTTGCACTGAAAACTACATTAGACAGTGAATGTGATCTTCTTTTACAATTAGTGTTACGGTTTATTACAAATGCAATCATAATAACGATGCAAATCAAAATTAAATCTTTACCCTCCCGGAACATAATTATATGACTGGGTCAAGCTAAAGACTAACTTATAATCAAAGCTCTTAAGGATTTTGTATTATTTGGATTTCAAATTAATCATTTTCGAGCCAATTTTATTAAGTAAGCTTTAAATTTTATTAATTTCATTCAATTTGACTTTATAGGTTTATCTCTTTAAAATGGTGAATTAATTTTCATGAATAAGTGATCAAGTTATATTAAGTTATTGTTATTGAAACATTGAAAGAAAATGTATAAGTAAGTTTTAATAAAAGTTAAGAATTAGTAAAATGCAATTTAAAAAAGTGGTAGGTGATGGAGAATAGAATATGAGGCTTTGGGGTTTGGGTAGCGAGGCACGGGAATGTTCTAGCGTAGACTAGAATAGTACGTAGGAGCGATGCGTTGGAGGGTTGTGGGCGAATTACCTGGAAGATTCTTTGACGCGTGTCACACTCTTTCACCCCATAACCACAACTTCATCCTCTAACTTTTGCCCCCGTACACGTCAAGCCACGGGTCATGCACCACCACCCTTCTCAAACTTCTATGTCATCCATCACCTTCCCACAACACTATTCTAATATTACTACAAAACTATAACCACCATCCACGTGTCGCCAATGGACCATCACAGAATCTACACATGTGTATCACCTTCTCCGCTATGCCTCATTACCTAAAACAAACTTTACTTTCTTCTTTTGGACTCGTTTTTATCCCTTGCTTTCATCGTCATTTTCTGTGAATCCAAGATATTCTTTAGTTATTCACATTCACATTTTCTTTCATTTAACTATTCATCCACTAACAACCCTAATTAAAGTAGTTTCTAATATTTTAAGAAATTCGTTTCTTTTTATTGAACATCTTTTTATTAAGAAAAAGAAGGCGTAACAAAGGAAATTAAAGTAATGTCAACATAGCAAGTAGGACATAGTACTTTAATTTCCGCGCAGATGCATGCTAATTGGATAAAGGAAAAAAAAAATAAGAAAGAGTGAAACACGGAGTTAGTAAAAAGTAACGTGTTCAACAGGCATTTCTCCACGTTAAACGTGTGACGGTAGCACGTGAGCCAAAAAGCATGCCAAAGTCGGTCTAAAGCGATAAAGTTATAAACATACAAACAAAATTAAATTAATATAACATTAGACGGTAAAATTTGTTTTCTTTCATGAAATTAAAAAAAAAAAACAGAAACAAGGAAAATAAATTAAAAGGATCGTATGACAAGACACTTAACGGCCTTCATCGGTTGGGATAGATTGGGAAATGACGGTAAAACATAAAGAGATACTATAAACTAAGAAAAAACTCACCGTTAATTTTAAAATATAAAGATTAATAAAAAAAAATTATTACTATTGCATTTGAAATATACGTTATTATTTATTGGTTTTAGAAAGTAGTCAACAAAATCTCAACGTTAGTTATATAATTTTGTAATAAAACTATTCACCTGATATTATAATTTAAAATAAAATAATTTAAAACAAAATATCCAATTGACTATTTACAAAAGAAAATAGTCAGAATCAATTTTTCTGCAATATCTAACAATATTTTTTAGAAAAATAAATTTTTAAAATTTGGAACAATATGAAGTTAACAAGATATTTCTGAAGAAAAAAAATGACAACAGCGTATTTGTTACGTAAAAAAAATAAAATATAAGTATACTGTATGCAAAATCTAGTTTAATATTTTTTGAAATCAGTATAACACTGTAGCTAAAAACACTTATTATTACTCAGTCAAAAAAAAAAAAACACTTATTACTTTGCTTTTTATGAAATCTACTCTTGGTCAGAAATTAGTTCTAATGAAACAATTTTGTTATTTATTTATACTTATGGGAATCTAAATCTTACACTCTAAGGAACATTAACTAATTAACCAAGTCACCAATATTTGCTTAAAATCTTAGGCATTCTCCATATGGAAACATTTCACATTAAACCAATCAAAACTTGGTTCTGACGGTGATTAGTTTGTTTCACTTTGAAGGGAGTGACAATTTTTTACCTGATTAAGGAAGTTTATCAGAAATGCAGAACAAATTGAGTCAGACTTGGATTCAACTCCGTGAGGAAAAAACACGTTTAGAATGACTCCACTAATAACTTAAACTTTATCATCCTCATGATTAGACCCATGAACAAATTGCCAAGCTAAGAAAGTTCCTAATAAGTGACACTAACCAGTTCTGTTTAAGACAAACCCATGTATGCTTTAAGCTTATGCGTTCAATTTATTCGATCACTAGTGAAAAGTCAATATCATGCACTCTAAGCTCACCCATTCTATCAATTGGGAATCTACACCCAAAATTGGGGGAAGATCAAGAAATCACAGCCGTCAAATGATGGTCAATGTCAGCCGTCAGATCAAAATGTAGGGAACCGCCATGGAATAATCGTGTGTTTTTTATTGAGGCGGCTGACCAATTCACTGATTTCGAGAACCGATGCAACTTCGCTTTCTTGATCGCCAATGAGAGTTCGACACGTGCACTCGCTGACAAACCCGCCCCATATAAGCCGGCTTTGGCGGGCCCCACCGTAATGGAAGCTTGTATTGGCTTCTCCACGACGGCCACTAGCACAGGTTACATTGGGAAATTTCTCTTTCGAAACATTAATCGAGATGAAAAAAAATAGAGAAATAATTGTAATAATATAATATATCTTTATTTTTTTATTGACATACCACCTATTTTCCAAGAGTACATTGTCATCATTTCATTTGTCCTCTTCCCCCAACCTCACTATTTACATCCTGAACCCCAAAACTTAGTATAATTACTCTAGAAACCAAACCTATAATCTTAACTAGGTTGAAAAGAACCTTGCTTATTACTTTGCTACACGCCATTCTTTTTTATCACTACACCACCATCAACTATTTCACAGGTGTCTTATTTTCTACTTGGTTCAGCCTTTTCCAGTTCTATTGGACTTTCTATATATACAAAACTAGAAACCACTACAGAAAGCATGAAAGTAAGAAACGGACTGTGACACTTCCAATATCGGCAAGAGGAAGGCTCGAGTATTGGAACCACCAAACACTTGCATTAGTATATTTCATACCTAGGGGCATTATAGCAAATAACCCAAAAATACCACTATCTAATATTCTATGATTAGTCCCCCCATTGGGGCTCGGTGTGGTATTCCCTTTCTTCTCTTGGCTGTTCTGTAATTAACCGAAGTTGGGGGTGGTGTGGAAGGTGTGAAGCTCTGAACTTTGAAGTTTTTCTGCCTGCCATGGGCGCTGTTGCTGCTGTATGAGTCTTCAGAATCTGATGACATTGCCGCTGGGTGCTTCTTTTTCTTCTGGAAGTTCTTGGATGTTCCAACAATCTGCAATTCATGTTCACATCGGTTAGTGATCAAATTGAATACCCACAATGAAACATATGGATGGTTGTTGAAGGTTTAGACTAATTAATGGTTAAAAGTCAACATTCAAATCCCAATATTCAAACACGCGTGGTGGTTTAATGCTCCGAGGAAATTAAGATAAAAGAATAAATTGAAGGATCCAAGAGTCCCGTGAATCAAAGGGCAGTACCCATTTTCATGGCTGAGAGAAAAAGTCAACTCATTTCAACTAAAAAGTGTTCTATGCTCGCTTGAAAACAAAGCAAAGTTCCAATTTTTCAAGTTTTTTTTTTATTTGAAAATTCCTCAGTGAGAAGCTTAAACAAAGAATGAAAGACATTGGTGGTGAAAATACCTTGCAACCAAGAGAACAGAAGCGGTAAGAGTCAAGAAGGCTACGCTCGCAAACTTCACAAGTGTTTGTGACTCCTTTCCCTGGCCTTGGTTGAGGCCTCTCGTTCAAAAACACCACCCTTGCGCTGTTGATAATGTAGGTTTGGACTCCAGTGATGTCCAACACCTTCTGAATCTCAGAAACTCTGATCACATCATGATAGGAAGACCTCCTAATCTGTTAACAATATAAAAAAAATCACACAAAAAAGAGCACATTAGAAGAGAATTAATGGTTAAACGCTAAACACTGTACACGCATTGAAAATAACTCAAAAACACCAAAAGCTGATATTTTTCTTCCATGGTGTGGTTACTTCCACACATTCTAGGAGTTGGTAAATGCAGGAAACGGTTAGACAATGGATTTTTAATGACAGTTCAAATCTTTGGCTGGAAGGAAATTAGGAAAGGTGGGACTTTTAAGTTTAACCAGCGGAAAAAAAAAAGGAAAAGAATCTAAGTAGCCCCATAAAAGGAAAAGTGGTGATTTTGATAAACAATGACTGTGTGAGACCTGAACAAAAATGTGTCAGATGCAAAGTTTTGTAAAAAATTGATGAGTGATGTGACAAACCTGGATTGCACGGTGATCCCTGTGGTGGACGAGGCAGAGAGAGCAGAGGGGGCCGTTCATACAGTCCAAACAATACATGTTGCATTCGCTCTTGTGAGAATCAGCATGTAACTTGCATTGAACAAAGAAACTTTCTTTCAGCAGTGGCTTCAACCAAGGTGGCCACCTATTGTCCTCATCATCAGGTCCTCCAGCGCCCTATTCAAATCAATCATAACCATAACCATAAACTTTAATGAGACCCAAAAATTAAAAAATAAAATACACTAGAATCCCCAATGCCTTTACACCCCAAGAAAAAATAGAGCATACACATTAGCTAGAGCCTTGAAGAGGAAGTTCAATGATTGAACCAAACCTAGTATGCTTACCATGATTCTCCTGTTTTTGGGTTTGATTTCCCTGACAGTGGTGTCTTGGTTTTCAATAGCCATGTTGGTTAGAGAGAGAGGGTTTGTGTGTTGGGAAGGAATGTGAAGAGAGTGTTTTGTTTTTTTAAGGAAGAGTGAAGAGATATGAGAGTTTGCGTGCTTTGAAGTTTGAGAAGAGTGGAGGCAACGAGGGAGGGAATGGGTTCTTGTAGGACTTTGAAGCGGTAGATGGCGTTTTAGAGAGAGAAAGAAGAGTGAGATGGTAGAGGTCGTTCTTATCCGCACAAAGTCTTCAACCAAACCTAGCTCCGAACCCAAACCAAATAGATGCGTTGGCTGTAAGGAACCCACCTCCTTCTTTCCTTTTTAATCTTCATTAAATATTAACATTTCATTTTCACATTTCTCTCTCATCTTATCATTTTATTTAATCTCCATGCTCCTGTTCATTAATAATTCGCGATTAAAACATTTTTTCACTCTCGCCCTGGTTTTGGCCACGCTTATTTCGTCCACTTGTATAAAATAAAAAAAATTAGAATATACATAGTAAAACATTGGATATTTTTCTAGGGCTGCTCAATGTTTGTCCTAATCCAACTTGTATTGGTTATTAATATGAAATATCTTTCCATTGTTGACCAAATTGTACTAGCTATATTGGTCTTGTCCCTACTATTGCTATATGTATACAAAGCTAAAACCCTGGCTATTCCCATCACAATTCTTTGTTTGACAGTGTAAAATGTTGATAAATTAATCATGCCCTCATCCAACATAAACTCTGTTTGGAAAGAGGATGTTTGATTAAATTTCACATTGTACTGGATAACTAAGATAACAAGTTACGAGGTGTTTGGAGCAACTCTATGAAACCTAACAGTAATAAATAGTAGGAAGGGTACGCATCAGGTTTGCCCTAATCATGTGGGTTAGGTCTTGGTTGGCCATCCTTAATTAGAGTTTATCACAATACCATTTCATGGCGGGCAACTACGATTTCTAGAAACAATTGTTGTTTCAATAAATAAAATGGAAAAGTTGTGTCCCATTTTTTTAGGTTAAGAGAGTTTTCTTTTAATTAATGCTCTTCCGTTTTCATTCTGATGTATACCATTCATGAACCCAATATATCATGTTTGGATATATGTAAAGGTACATTTATCTTTTCATGAAAATATATCATGTTTGGATTTATGAAAAAAAAATGTTTCATGATATATTGTGATAACATTTTTTAAATTTATATTAGTTTTACGATAAATCAATTTTTAAAATATTAAATTAAATTAAATCAAATCAAATTTAAAAATAGATCAAATAATTAAATCAATTTTATAAGTTAAATTTATTTTAATTTATTTTAAAATAAAATGAATTTTTGATAGGATGGATTTAGCGTGTTTTTATTTTTGTTTTTAAAATATGAAAAATCACGTGAAAGTTATTATTTATTATTTTTAGTTAAACATGATTTTTTTATATTTTAAATGGAATGCAAATACACGCTTAGAGCGATTTAGATATTTTCACACTTTTAAACAAAATAATAAAAAGATAAAATATCTCTTTCAGAGTGGAAACTTGAAATTCCCGCTATGTCCTTCGCTTCCGCAACTCTTATCCGAATTCCCAAGTGGATTTGCTTGAATTAGTAACAATCATTGGCTTGATTATTATGGTAATTCGAAAACGATGATTCAGCGATTACACTATGGTTAGTGACAGTGGCAGTAAGGTATTATTTGGTGGCTAATTCTTCCAAGTGAAAATGTGTGGAGGAAGGTGCATCAGAGTTTGGAACATAGCAGAGGGTGATTATAGACTAGTGTTTCTATAAGATAATGATTGGATAATTTTGAACATGTACAAAATGCAGATTCCATAGATAATACACGATTTGTTGAAGAAATCTGAAAAAATATTTAGATAAGAAAATGTCTTGTCATAATTTTATTTCCGTAGATTATAAAAGTCCACAAAGACAGAGGCATAAAGAATTTCCAATTAACAATCAATGACTGAATGGAAGACCATAAGCCATTACTCATGGGGACTACCGCCATTACGGTACCATCAAATTTTGGCAATATCCTTTTTTATTTCTTTTTTGTAATGGGAGATGCTATGAAAGATTTGAGTATTTCAAGGCTCACACACTTTCTGCAAGAGTAACAACTTGTCTAATTTTACTATTAGTACAATGTATCGGGGAATGCTCCGGTGCCCTCTTATTTGAAGGGGTTTTGGTGCCCCTCAGTATAAAAGTTGGGTTTTTAGGGGCAATAAAGTAAATTGATCAAATAAGAGGGACACCAAAACCTCTAAAAACCCAACTTTTGTACTGAGGGGCACCAAAACCCCTTCAAATAAGAGAGCACCGGAGCAATAGCCCAATGTATCATCATCTCGTTTCAGAAAAAATAGAAGTGGCTCGACCAAAAACAAGTTATATAATAGTAATAATATGACACATAAATTTAAAGATTTTGACCAATGTCCATTCAGTATATTCTAAGCATTTTGCTTGTTATATTTAAAATACTGGTTTTGGTTTTTAATAAATCTCGATAGTTGCTTTACTAAATTTTAAGCACATTTTTTGCAAATATATATATTTTTTTTTTCTCTCTCTTCATTTTACACAAATTTAAAAACGAATAATTGTTGCAAAGTTTTTTTTAATTGTTATAATGTTTATAAAGATACCGTCTAAAAATGGCCTTTTTTAGTTTAAAGAAAAACTCATCGTTAAAGTAAATTATAACAAATTAAAC